ATTTTGCTTTCTTCCATTGAATTTTCTAGAACCTGCAAGATACATGCAAGTTCCTGGTTATGAACCTGTGACTTACTTAAAAACTCCTATTTGTCCTTTAATGTTTTGTAACTTTGCCCTTTCTTTGAAAAGATTGTACCAGCCCCTACTCAAAATAAATTCTTTATCACAATCATCTTCACTTGCTGTATGTGCAGCTTTTCGGGTCTTTTTAATACTAGCATAAGGCTAAGGAACAACCTTGTGCTCCTGTTCTGACTCACCTTCAAATTTCACTTAAGATACCGACTTAAGATACTGTTACGAATGGGTCTCATTCCTAATCTGGAGACTGCTATAATGAAAAAAGAATAATCACAAAAATGGCCATCTTTGTCTTATTACTCATTATTGTAGGAATGTTTTAATGTATGTTTTCTCCTTGTTTCAAACATTCATATATATATATATATATTTAGGAATTTCCCATTTGTGTGTGTGTGTGTGAGTGCATGCATGTGCTTATGTATGTTTACATCAATAATGACTTTTACATAGTATATCATGTAGTCTCAACTTTAATTTGTTAAACTACTGAAGTATGCTGATAATATAAATACTACTCATTCTTTCGATGAGTTTATGGATTCAATTTCATGATGTTTATTTTAAGATTTATTTTTTTCCAAGCCATATTTATTATTGCTGTTTGGTTCCAAAGGAGGAGGTAGATTCCGTTTTTATAGAATTTAAAGAAGAGGTGGCTTTTGAGATGGACTTTGAAAGAAGCATAGAATTTTCACAGCCAGCTCTGAGCTTATATTCCAATGGGAGATAGCAGCGTTAGGGAAGGCAGCGAGAATGAAGAATAGAGGTAGAATAGAGCATATTTCAGCTTGACAGGAGTATGGAGTTAATGTATCTGTTGAGGCCAGTGTAGAATCCGTGTCTGTAAATGCCACTATTAGCTACTCTTAATTTCATAAGAAAAGGTCAGTCAGTGAAGGATTTGGGCCCAGCTTTTGCATTCTGAAATTTGAGAATAACCTCATTCTTCACCTCATTCTTGAGAAAAATAACAATCACACTATCTAGATAAAATTTCATAGCTCTTGGGAAATTTTTACTGAGTTGTTTGAAATGCAAGCCTGATTGTTTGTTCTGTGTTTTATTCATATGCTTATGTCCTTCATGCATGAAGGAACTTTATATTTTTCAAATTCTGACTGCATAATAAAACATAGGCTTTAGAGTTACTATTGAAGTTAACTCATTTTCATACAAATGAACTAAAACATAGTTTGAGTATAGAATACCAAGTGAACAACAAATCAGATAGGATGAGTGACTTAAAGAGAGGAGAGTTGTCTTCTGAATTTCCCCATTTCAGGGAAATTTAATAACATTGTAGCCCTTCTGATTTCATGTGCTATGTCTTTTCTCTAATTGGAAAAACACAACAGGTGATCTATTCAGCAGCATTTCTGAGTCATGCCCCAGGAATAGAGGCGAGCCACGAATTACTTATACTTGCATAGAGGAAGGATACCTGTCATTAAATGTTCTGATCAATTTTCAGTTATGTAATACTTTTACATTTGAGAAAAAACATGTAGTTCTACCTATTGGATGTCATAAATCTCAGAAATGGAACTAGAAATTCAGATGTTTTAAAAGAACAAATTAGAAGAGCTCTGCTAGGAAGTCACTCAGTTTCCCTCACTACTGACATTGATATGTTTGTGTGAGAATCAACTAGTTAATCAAAATCTTATCCTTAACTTTTCTGTGAAAGAACTTGTACTTAGTGGTGAAATTATCTGTCAGTATTTGTCGACTGATTAAAAAAAATAATAATTCATTGTGTCCATGTGAAAAATCAATGTATTATATATAATATTAATTAAGGGAAAATAGGTTATTGTGAAGTGGTCATTGTCCTCATGAAGTTTATAATATATGTACAATTCTCTTACTCACTATCTGACTATCTGATGTTTTGTATTTATAACCATTGTAAAAATTGTTTTACCCATGAGTGACCTGTGTCTGCTAGTAATGGATGCCGTAGTGTGAGGTAAGCATAGCACTAGCTGTGGTTTCTGTTTGTTAGCTTGGATGGGCCATGATTCTCAGTGATTTAGCAGTTATGTTGTGATATATTCCTCCATATTGTGATCTGTTATACACAGAGTAACTACCAAAAGGAAATGGTTAGTCGTTGATGTTCCACCATTTCAAGAGGTAACAAATGATCAAGAGCCAATGATAGTGAAGGAAGAAGTCAGGTACGTTGAAGGAATTGGCAAAGAACAAGGCACCAGGAATAGATGGAATAAAAATTGAAATCTTTCAAGAAAGTGAGGCGATACTGGAGGCACTGACTCATCTCTGCCCAGAAATTTGGAAGACAACTATCTGGCCGACTGATTGGAAGAGATACATATTTGTGCCCATTCCAAAGAGGGGTGACCCAATGGAATGCAGAAATCATCGGACAATCTCTTTGATAACCCATGTGAATCAAGTTTTACTAAAGACAATACAGAAACGGCTACAAGCATTCATTGATAGAGAACTTCCAGAGGTTCAAGCGGATTCTGAAGAGGCTGTGGAATGAGGGATATCATTGCTGGTGTTTGATGGATCTTGGCTGAAAGCAGAGAATACCAGAAAGATGTTTACCTGTGCTTTATTGACTATACAAAGGCTTTCAATTATGTGGATCATGACATGCTGTGGACAACATTGCGAAGTATGAGTATTCCTGAACTCTTAATTGTGGTCATGAGGAACCTGTACATAGACCAAGAAGCAGTTGTTTAAGCAGAACATGGCAATACTGAATGATTTAAAATTAGGAAAGGTGTGTGACGGAGTTGTATTCTTTCACCATATTTATTCAGCCTGTATGCTGAGCAAATAATCCAAGAAGCTGGGTTATATGAAGACAAACGTGGCATCAGAATAGGAGGTTGACTTATTAATAACCAGCGATATGCAGATGATACAACCTTGCTTGCTGAATGTGAAGAGGACTTAAAATACTTACTGATGAAGATCGAAGACCACAACCTTTGGTATTGATTGCATCTCATTGTAAAGAAAACAGAAATCATCACCACTGGATCAATAAACAACATTCTATCAACAGAGAAAAGATTGAAATTGTCAAAGACTTCATTTTTCTCGGAACAACCATCAACACTCATGGAAGCATCAGCCAAGAAATCAAACGACATATTGCATTAGGCAAATCTGGTGCACAAGACCTTTTTAAAATCTTGAAGAACAATGATGTCAGCTGGAGGACTAAGGTACTCCTGACCCAAGCCATGATATTTTCAGTAACCTCATATGTATGCAAAAGTTGGACAGTGAATAAGAAAGATTGTAGAAGAATTGGTGCATTTGAGTTATGGTGTTGGAGGAGAATATTGAAAGTTCCATGGGCTGGTAAAAGAACAAATATGTGTTAAATGAAGTGCAGCCAGAGTGCTCCTTGGAGGCCAGAGTGGCCGAACTTCATCTCTCATACTTTGGACATATTGTCAGGAGGGACCAGTCACTGGGAAGGGATATCATGTTTGGTAAAGTCGAGGGTCAGAGAAAAAGAGGAAGACCCCAATGAGATGGATTGGCAGTATGGCAACATCAGTGGTCTCAAGAGTGGCAACAGTTACAAGGTTAGCCCAGGACTGGGCAGTGTTTCATTCTGTTGTGCATAAGGTCACTATGAGTCAGTACTGACTTGATGACACCTAGCAACATGTTCTTCATTTCACATAACACTAATTTTGTGTAACGACCTAGTCTTTGTAACCTAACCATGTTGATACATGAGAAGTAGGGGTATTGTGGAAATGACAAAGAACAAGGTGACAAGTGGTGTAGTTATTACTAGTAGAAAAGGAAAAGGTTGGTATGAAATATAAATATTTATAGGGATTTAACATGATAAATATGGAGTCCTGGTGTAGCATTGTGGATTAATGCACTGGATCACAAGGTTGAATTGAACCACTAGGTTCAAATTCACCAGCTGCTCCTTGAAAACCCTATACAGAGTTCCTGTGAGTCGGAATCGACTTGATGGCACTTAACAGCAACAATAGTATGTGCTTAATGAGGAGACTAAAGTTTTACTTTATAATATCACCGTTCTCTGATTATGAGTTTTTGAGAAGTAAATTAAATGAGCAGGATTTGGAGAGCATTGAGTAAAAACTTCCAGAGTAATGCAGGAAACATTTTCATTCTATACATTTTCTCAAATTCTCTAAAATCTGAGTTTTTAGAAAAAAAATTAATAACACTCAAAAAAATCCTACATGGAATAAGTATGAAACAGGAATTTTTGAAAATGTGGTAATTTTAGGGTATCTTGTATAATCAGTGTCTTATTGGTTGCTGAGGGGAAAGATCCTTCCTTCCATTTCTTAATTTCACATGAACCAGCTGGATTGTACGTTTGTTTGTTTTTCACTTTTCCTTTGCTCCCTGCATATCACTACTACTGTAAACAAGTTACTGGACTCTTATTCTGTACCAGGCACTCTTCTATGACTTTCTACTGTTAGCTGAAATAAACCTCAGAACTTTTCGCTAAAATATGTATTATTATGCCTGTTTTACAAGGAGCTCTGGTAGTGTGGTGGTTACAAATCGGGCTGCAAACCGCAATGCCAGCAGTTCGAAACTACCAGGTGTTCCGTGGAAGAAAGATGAGGCTTTCTGCTCCCCTAAAGATTTACAGCCTTGGAAACCCAGTACAGGGTCGCTGTGAGTCAGAACCGACTCCACGGCACATAACGAACCAACCATGCCTGTTTTACAGATGAGAATGCTGCAAAGTACTAAGAGGTTAAGTAACCTATTAACCTATCTAAGGTTTCACCTACTTGCCAACGATCAGTAAACTTCCAAAGATTAGTAGTTAAATCTTTAGGCATAGTTTGTCTATGATTTGATTTCATTTGTTTTTCTAATAGTGGTTTATTTTTGTTGTTATTGTTTTCCAGGACTTGTTGATGTACCTATTACAGTTGGTCCAGGCTCTCAAATATGAAAATTTTGATGACATAAAGAATGGATCAGAGTCTTCCACTAAGGATAGTCAGATTTCCACATCAGAGAGTATGTCAAATTCTGGGATAAATTCTGCAGAAATTGATAGGTATGGATTACCAGGGAAACCTTTATGTTTTCAAATCTAATAGTTTTCTCTCTTTTCAAATGATTTTTTCTCCTTTTTCTAACGATATACAAAGCCCTAATACTACTGTTTTGAGATATTATCAGTAAATATGGCAAGTGACTCCCAGAGTACAAATTTTTTTTATTGGTGTATTGCAAATGTTAGTGTTGGAATGCCTGAGTTAGATATTGTTATTATGTGCCGAGAGTTTAGATAATTCTAATTCTGCCACTTACTTGCTGTGTAAGCCTGTGGCAGTTGTGTGTTATGTCTGGTTAGTACCTACACTTTCATGTAAAAATGGAATAACAGTGATAACTGTTTTTTAAGGGTTATGTGAACATTGAATGATTCAATATACAAACCATGTAGAGAAGTGTTCACTGAGTGTTAGCTATTAGTTAGCTATTGCTTCTAAATTGAAAGAAGGGGCATGCTAGTGAGCTAGAATATTGTAATGGAAAGTTGCATTTTTTTATTGGCCTTTTACCACTTTAGTAGTTAAGATTAAGGGGAAAAAAAACTTTGAAATTAAATGAACCAACTTGGTATCAGACAGTAATTAACTCTCACAAGAATCCCTTGAGATAGATATAGATGCTCATGTCCCCATTTAAAAATGAACGACTGAGACTTCCGGCAAGATAGTGGACTAGGTAGACATACTACTTGGACCCTCTAAACCCATGACAGGAGAGACAAAATAAAACGATCCAGTTGAAAATTTTAGCACCCTGAACTTCAGAAGAAAGGTCAGATAGATGATGGAATGCTTGCTGGGTGGAGTGGCTGAGCAGGGACCACGAGAGAGGGAGACTAATTGGTGAATGACTGACAAGACACAGCTCGACCATCTTGTGAGCAGCTTTGGCAGCAGAGGGAGGCTTGGCAGAGTGAAGTTTCAGAAAAGGATGACAGAACAGGTGCTCTTTCTACTTTTTCCTAATGTTCCCACACTAGAAGTGTGGCCAGCTCCCACCCTCATCCACTGCCAGCACAGACCCTGCTCCATGGGAGTTCAGAGCGACGTGATTGGGAAACCATGCCAGAATGATGTGGGGACTGGCTGCGCAGTGCCACTTTGGTGTTTGGATTTGGGTGGACTCAGCTCCAGAGCTGCAAAACCCACAGAGCACAAGACCAGCATTTCACCAGTTGCCTTGCCTCCCCAACTACCCTGTAGTCCTAATAGACACTGAAACCAGCTCCATCAAGGACCCCACAAACTGCTTTTGGATTGAGTTCCCTGAACATAAATAACACCAAGGCCAGTAGGAACTCCCAACTAGAGCCAAGAATTCTACTGTCACATCTGTTCCACAACCACCTGGTGAGATCCCTGAATAGCAGGATTTCCCAACAACTGCACTGTTTATTTTTTACAAATGTAACAATTTCATAGTGCCCCGGAGACAGCAGACAACTTTAGCTCACATGAAGACAAGAGAGAATGGTTTAAATAAATGACCAAGATGCAAGCTAGAAAAATATTTCTGATAAAGAAAAAGTAATAGAATTAACAGAAGAAGAATTCAAAAGAATGATACTTAGGTACCTTCAAAGGAGCACGAAAATAAAGAGAACACAATAAAAACTCTAGAAAAATTCAGGAAAACACATGAACAAACAAAGAAAATAAGTGCAAATTTTGAAACAATGCAAAACCTCCAATTAGAAATCCGAAGATTAATATTGAGGTCTCAGAAATAGATAATTCATTTAAAGGGCAAAGGAGTATATTTGAAGCAATGGGAGCCCAAATTAGTTAGCTTGAGCAAAGTCTTATCAATATTAATATGCTAGAAAAACAATCAGTAAAAAGAATGAGAAAATCCAAAGAAAGCCTAAGAGTTATGTGGAATACCATGAAGAGGAACAATTTTTGAGTAATAGAAATTCTAGAACAGAAAGAGTCAAGCACGGAGTAAATTGTCTAAGAGTTGTTAGAAGAAAACTTCCCTAACATCATGAAAGGCAAGAAGATGAGTATGTAAAAAGCTGAACAAACTCCAAACATCATAAATCCCAAAAGAAAATCACCAAGACATAACATAATTCAACTTTTCAAAATCAGAGACAAGGAAAGAATCCTGAGAAGTAGCTCATGAAAAACATAAAGCTACTTACAAAAGAAAACCAATAAGACAAAGCATTGATTTTTCAGCAGAAACCATGCAGGTAAAAAGGCAATGGAATGACATATATTAAACTCTGAAAGAATGATTGCCAACCAAGAATCATATGCACAGCAAAGCTGTCCCTCAAATACAACAGCAAAATTAGGAGATTTCCTGTTAAACAGAAATGAAGTAAATTTGTAATGACCAGAATAACTTCACAAAGAATGTTAAAGGGGGGAGTTCCATGGACGAAGAACCAGCAGCAGCAGAAAACAGCCTGGGATTACCATATATGACGTCATCCAGAGTTCAATCCAAATATAGAAGTATTTAAATTAAAGCAGACCCACCAGACTAAAAATAAGGAACCCCAGGGAGATCAAAGTATAGTGACGTCAACTACAAAGTAAAGAGTGGAAATAGTGTAGATATAAAACTTCTAAATGTCAAGGCAGTTAAGTAGATTTTAAGAAAAAAACACTGTTTAGCAGGGGTAAAAATATGAAAACATCAAAGAAAGTTAATATACCTTATCAAAATTAAGAGGGAAATCAGATTTGTAAACATTAACACAACAGAAATGCAAATGACAGGAACACCCACAAACAAAATGAATTCAGTGTAGAAAATTATATGGAAGAAAGAATCCAGCAGCTCCTCAAAAACCACAGAAAAATAACAACAATCAAGTCATACCTATTCATAGTTACACTGAATGCATTAAATATATCAGTCAAAAGACTTAAAAAGCAGAGTAGATTAAAAACAAAACTAAATAGGATTCTTCGGCGTGCTGCATATTAAAAAGGTGGACACAGCCTAAATGCCCACAGCAGAACTTTGTTACATACAAACAATGGTATGCTATAAAATGTTGAAGATTAATGATGAATGTGAAAAACCTCACAACATGGTTGAACCTGGAGAACATTATGCTGAGTGAAATTAGTCACAAAAGAACAAACATTGTATGGGACCATTGTTGTAAAAATTTTAAAGAAAACCCAGGTTTCCTTGATAAAAGAAACAATCAAGGATGGTTAGGGGTAGGGAAGAAAAAAAATATTCATGGGCTAGAGGATAGACACGTGTTAACGTGGGCTACAGGGCAGGCAGTATTTACAAGAGGGAGATGAAGGTAGTGGGAGACATATGGAAGAATGCAATAGTTAAAAGTGAATCGAGATTAATGTTTGGTACAAGGAGGGGATTGAAACCATGTAGCATAGCAAAATGTATGGTTGGTTGAATGTAAAACTGATTGCTCTGCAAATCTTCACTCAAGTCATAATAAAAAGTTTAAAAACAAAACAAAAAACTGAGGAGCTTGGGTAAAAAAATTGGCCCAAATCATATTTTTCTATTTTTAAAGGATGGGAATCCTCATGTTTTCTCCCACTGTGTTGTTGTTATGTGCCGTGGAGTCAGTTCCGACTCTTAGTGACCCCGTACAGGGTTTCCGAGGCTGTAAATCTTTACGGGAGCAGAATGCCTCATCTTTCTCCCCTGGAACAGCTGGTAGTTTCTAACTGCTGACCCTGAGGTCAGCAGCCCAATTCATAACCACTATGCTACCAGAATTCCTTTTTTTTTTTCTCACTACATATTAATAAATCAAGCCTTACCCATTCCCATCAAATTGATTTTGGCTCATAGCAACCCTATAGACCAGAGTAGAATTCCCCCATAGGATTTCCAAGGTTGTAAACCTTCACAGAATCTGACTGCCACATTGTTCCCCCATAGAGTGACCCATGGGTTCAGACAACTGACCAGATGGTTAACAACCATGTGTTTAACCATTGTGACACCAGTGGACCTCTTTCTACGGCACATTGGAGGCCTTCATTCTCTGTTGTTTGTGTTGTTAGGTGCTGTTGAATTGTTCTGATATATCACAACCTTATGTACAAAAGAACAAAGTGCTGCCCGGACCTGTACCCTACTCATAGTCAGTGCTGTGTGGTACCATTATCCCAGCCACTGTGTCAGTCTGTTTCATTGAGGATCTTCCTCCTCTTCACTGAGGCTCCACTTTACCAAACATGGTGTCCTTTCCAGGCACTGATTTCTCCTGATAATTTGTCCAAAGTACATGTAACAAAGTCTTCACTTAGCTTCTAAGGAACTTTCATTTTCTAGTCCTACTTGTTTACCTTCTTTCTCATTTATATCACCTAGAAAGTTTCTAAATAAAAGTCCATTTTTGGACTTATGACCAGATGGAAATGTGACACATTATTTTCCATTTTGATAGTATGTTGGTTACTAATGATATTTTGTGGCACTATGGGATAAAGCACTAGACCACAAGATTAGTTTGAACTACAAGATCGGTGGTTCAAACTCACCAGCTGCTTTTTGGAAATCTTATACAGTGTTGCTATGAGTTGGAACCAAGTTCATGGTACTTAACAACAATGACAGTGCTATTTTGGCAATAGTTTTATGGCCAGATATGTTTGAAAAATTCTGGTTTAAAGTTAAATAGGTTTTGTATAATTTTTTTTTTTGTGTGTGTGTGTGTGTGTACACCTGCCCATAAATTTTCAAAAGAGTATTTATTACTCATCTTCTTGCACCATAGAACACTCTTTTTCTGAAATGTTAATGTTATTTTAGAGCTATTTAGAACACAGTGTAGAAAGTGATGTTTAACTAGACACAGTTGAGTTGAATGTATGTATACTCTTATATAGACAAAATATTATACATATATCAATGATATCTCCTATTACATTTTCAGCTCCCAAATTATAACCAGTCCTCTTCCTCCAGTGTCTTCCCCTCCTCCTGCATCTAAAACAAAAGAGGGTTCAGATGGTGAAAATCTGGAAGTAAGTACAAAGATTTTCTAGCTCCTTATAGGAGAGATCCGACCACATAAACATTTTATGTTGGCCTGTAAAACAGTGAGTTTGATTAATAAACTAAATATTATAACTTTATTAAATAACATGATTTATGATGCATGTTTATGATTTTTTTCCCCCTCAGCATTAAAGTGCCAGATAATCCTCAATTCAAGGCATTTTATTGGTGTTTTGGGCATATAAATGGATTTGTACACAATGTGAAAATAAACCAAGCTTAAATATTTTATTAAGGAAACTCTAAGAATATTTATTGTTAATGTATTTGTGAACATTACTATAATTTTTGTTGGGTTGTGATTACATTGTAGAAATTTATGATTTGTTTCTTGGGATAATACACTAAGCTGCTGTGTTTAACTTGTACATAAAATTAAATTGCATTTTTCAAATAAGTAGACCCATTTTTAAGGCAAAACTGGTTTCAATATATTGTTACTGTGAGAATCATTAAGGTGGATTTGAAAGTGCATTGCAGAAGCTGGTTTCAGTATGTATTGTTGTGTTTTTCTCTGAGACTTCTAATTTGAGAAGGATCTTACACATTCTTGATGTTGAAAATGAATAAGAAGTAATTTAATATTAGAATTTTAGTAGATTTTAGGAGTTAATGATTGAATTAGTCTTATATGACTAACTCATGATATGATGGTGGTGGTGGAAATTGTGTGCCACTGAGTCAGTTCCGATTCATACTGACCCTTGCATAGGGTTTCTGAGAATACTAGAAAGCCTCATTTTCCTCCCACGGACTGGCTGGTGGATTCGAACTGCTGATGTTAGGGTTAGTAGCCCAACTCATAATCTGCTACGGTACAAGGGCTCCTTCATGATATGATAGGAAATATTAATTGAAAAGTGTGTCATTTAAATCATAGATCATAGAATTTAGGTGAGTCCTTTAAGAAAGCACTCAGTTACAGTCTAATTTTTCCCCCTTCAAAAATAATACATTGATTAATTGCTTTAATTATTCATTTATTTACATGATACATGTATATATAAATGTTTTATTGATTATGTGATAGTTTACATGGGAGAACATTCGCTTTGCATTCATCCTGTCATATATTGTTTCATTGCCATGGTTACAATCCCCTCCATTCATCATCAACCAACCAAAGGGTATACCCTACAAGCTTGCCCATCCGTCATCACCACACAGCCCCTCTCCCTCTCTGGGTTTAGAGTCCCCAGCCGCTCCATCTCTCCATCTTTGGGGTTACTGTTTCTCTGGGTAGGGTCCTGTTCTCCGCTCTTCTCCATTGATGGTCCCAGGGACCTCCGTTCCTGGACTGCAAAGTC